CCCCAAAACCCCAAAACCCCAAAACCCCAAAACCCCATATGAAGATCGACAAGTTGGTAAATAATTATTATTTATGAATTCTCAAGTAAAGATCCACAATTTAAAGATTTCTCAAGATATTTGGGATTGTTCAGATGAAGACTTAATTGATGGAGATGAGTGAATTCCTCAAGTACCTCACTTCACAAAGCAGTTTAGCAATACTCTAAAGCACAATAAGGGTAGCACTTATCCAGCTGATTTTGAAGACTCTATAGAGAGTGTTGCGAGTCCTACATTTGCCTGTCTGAAGCCTAGAGATGAAGAATTTGCTGAAAGATTTCGAGAGCAAAAGAACAAAAGAAAAACAAAGAAGAAGCTGAGAGATTGTAAGCCCAAAACCTTTGATGCTAAGACTTCATCTAAATGAAAAGGCCTCAACCTCTCAACTAAAGATAAGAAGTTGCTGAGGCGTATTTCTTCGAAGAAAATTCTCCAAGTGTTGCTCACATAGAGCTGCTACAAGTAGCTAAGAGTCATCGCTCTTCACAAATCAACAATTTTTCATAATTAAGTTACTATATCTTATATTTTAAGTTCTCTATTTAAATGAAAGCAGAACTTTCATAATCAATTTCAGTTCTGTTCCAGGAGAAAATTTTATTAAAAATCCAATCAGCCTGAACTGAACATCCTTATATGATCCGGTGCTTGAGCAGAGTACGATCGAAACAACTGCAAAGTTCTGAAAATCCTCTTAGACTTTTATTAAATGATACTTGAGTAACTTCTCAGTAAACCAACATAAGTTTTCCAAGGTTTAGAAGTTATGACTAATAGATGCTTGTGAATCATAACTTTACACAATAGGAAAGCCAGAACTAGATAATATTATTAAGTTCTGATTTAGCTAGAAATAATGAGCCCTTCCATTATAATAATATATCTACGAGTTAAATAAGTCAGTTAAGGTTCTCCATGGGTATTTTGACAAACCTTACCCTGGTAAATAATAAAGTATGAAACTCCCAGATGTGTCGTGACCACTTCTGTGCTCTAAATTTACTCCAACAAACTTAAGTATTCATATCCCTGACTATAAAGCAAGCACAGGAGTGTATCCTCAACTGTTAATTTTTGAAGTAGCAGTCTCTAAGAAGTCATCTTGGAATTTTGTTTTTAATAAATAATAATTCCTAAAAGTGAAACTGCTATTAACTGGATTGGACTCAGAGATTCAAATTTAAGAGATCCCACTTGTCTCAAATTTTAATATCTGACTATATGCGTATAGTCCACCAGAGTAGTAAATTACACTCAGATCTTCTCTTGGAAAGTTAGTTCCTTAACATGAAAACTTGAAAAGTTTATGATAATAAATGGTATGTGGGCAACTCATGAAAGTATACTGCAGTATAAATTTAGGCACCAAGATTAGAGTTGTATCATATGAGTTCGATATAATATCAAATTAATGAACGATCGATTTTTTTAATAAACATTATTATAATTAGTCAAGGCTCAAGCTATGGTCATTAACTTTTATAGTAAACCTCTCGATAATCATTGAAACTTTCTTTATGTGCCAATACATGAGTTTAGAAAATCAAAAATGTTCAAGCAAATTGCTGCTGTAAAGCTAGTAAACTTATGAATAAAATACGTCTTCTTGGCAACAAATAGTATTCTACACAATATGGTGAACTCTCATGGCTTTCAGTGTTGTCAGAATTTATCTAAAAACGAGGGGACACTTTCGTATGGAACTTGATCATACGCTCATCATAAAACTTTAGACTTAAATTTTGGACTTTTCCAGTAACTATTAAATCACCCACAAAATGGCGCCGCCATTACTCTTATTAGAAATAATAAATATTTTCTTTGTATCAGCCGAACTCAGGCATTATGATTACAAAGATAGCATACCAAACAGAAATGTCTTGAGCACAAGACTGATGCCCATAAGTCGATTTATAAATGGTGGCTTTCAATGGATAAAATGCTGAGAAAACAAGCTTCCATCCATCTAATAACTTTGTATGTGCTAGACCAATAATTACAACTCTCCTAAAATATGAGGATCTCTTCATTTTCCAAAGAGCAAACTTAATTTTTATCAAGAGTCCAGTCCATTTGAATGCTATGGTTTCTTCAATGACTCATAAAGCAAAATGGCTGAAAAGAAGAGATTATGTGTCTAAGCTAGGAGCTGATTAAGTCATAAACACAGATATAAGGCCTTAGCAAAATTCTGCCATCTTTCAGGATTCTTAATTGCTCACATCGCTAGATAATACTATCTCTAGACGAGTGTTGGCATCATACAGAATTTGGATTATGAATTTTCTGAAGCAATCTACTAAATCTAATTTTTTTAAGTATTCTTATTACTGAGGTTATACCTTTTAATTGTCTTGTAAAAGCTTTCAGACATAAAATACAGCTAGGACATCAAAGAGATTTGAGAGGGTTGGGCTCCACAATCCCTTACAAGCTCGGCTAGTCAAAGCATGTTGATTTTATGGGTTAACCATATTTTAATTCGGTCACCAAAATACAATTAATCGACAGCACTAAGGGGTTTTGGGGTTTTGGGGTTTTGGGG